CAATCCACACGACGACGACGACGGCGGTGGCGACGACGACGGTGGTGGCGGCTGCGTTCTGTTATTATTTTGCCGCGGTGCTTTTGACCCTTCGAACTGGGCGAGTTCATTGCAGCGCTTTCGCGGGGGTGTCAGCCAGTTTTATTACTCCGGCCTTCTCCGTCCGCAGCAGCAGCGCCGACGGCGCCAGAACATGATGTGGTATATGCAGCATGTCTACTAGTGTACGTATTCGATCACACCAATAATCCGGACACGTTGAAGCGCCTATTCATAGGGCGAGAAGTCGCCGACAAGCTCTGAACACTGAACCGGTGTATACCCTGAGCGAACAAACGAAAGGAACTATATCCAGTGACGTTGCGACTGAGAAAGGACGCGACGAACCACGTGATATACCTGTCGTCGGGCCGCGTCATGCAAAGCATGCTTGACTCCCCGATGGCCATAACCTGAATTGAGCCGATTTGACCCGATTAAACCCGATTCAATGTATTCGTAGCTGAACGAACAAGCAAACGAACGAATGAAAGAAAACAAACGGTAGCCATTGACTTTTTTCGTCTTTCCTCGTGCTTGCGCTCGTTATTCTGTGGTGTTTTATGCTTAATAAAGAACGCGCTACCGCTTTTTACGACAAAGACGCGAATGTTCACTTGTGAGTCAGAAGTGTATCGTGCCTCGGTGGTATATTCATCTAATGTGAAAAGAAAGTAGAAATTTAATCAGGAAAAAGGTCAGTCTGTTTGCTTATAACAGGTGACTAGATGAACAAATGGACGGATTGTTCGTGACACGCATGCTGCTTCTCGTTCTTTCGGTGTTCTCCCATAACGGTGATAACTTGAAATAATCGTGCTATGGTGTACTGTGTACATAGTGTCATAGATACAGTGTCAGTATAGTGTCAACCGTTACGTGTAATTGTCTGAAGGTGGTGGCGTGGGAGTCCGACATTTTAACCGCTCGTATTCACGAAAAGATACAAGTGTCCACGTGTGAAATACGGTTGGTACTTCAGGGGCGTGAGGAGCATACGTCGAGCTTACTTTTAAGAAGATTCTTTAGTGTCTTTTCTGATAGGAATTTTATCATGTGTGTGGTTAATATTTGATTTCATGGTCACGATCTGTTTATTTTTCCATTATCGCAGTCACATTGTTGATTATCAAAGGAAAAGGTACCAAACACAACCTTTATTGCGATTAAAGAACTTCGAGTAAGAATAAAAGATGGAAGTTGTGTGATCTTGTTAAATAAGCGAAAAAAGGTGATCAAAATTTGTAGAAGACAGCACATGCACTGACAATTTAACGGTATTATTGAAAAATATCCGTGCTTTGTACTTTTTGTGAAGTGTTTGACAGTATTTAATCAAGTGTGCAACAATGATAAATACCTGGTGAGTTGAAACTTTAATATAATTTATATAAAAATATGATCATTTGTTCTTGCAATGCATATATTTTAACTAGTTATTTGAGACAAAGAAAAGGAGAGAAAGGAAAGAAAACAGGACGACGACGAAGGGGAGGGGTAGTAATTGAAACAAGTATGTTTTCCGTTTCTGTTTTGTGTTAGCGTTATTAACAAAAGGTATTTATAAACGAAAGAAAATAATTTGTTTCATTTTGAATTCTTCAGAGTTGAAGTTAAATTTTGAATCGTGGAATGATTCTATTATGTATTTTCAAACGTACGTATTGCATTAAAAAGGTGAATGAAGTGAAGATAGTGTCTAATAGGTTTATTTTCATTGTGTTGGCATTTATTTATTTATATTAATCAATTTTTGTGATTTACTTTTCTGTGTGTGTACGTGTGTTTTTTAATTCTTTTGTTTACAAATTTGTAATTTTGTAAACGTTGTGTCATGCAACATGTATGTTTCTAGGTTAAGTTACTGATCGTTACTACTTAACCTCAAATATCATCGTAGATTATGTTATTTCTATTTTTCATTTTTTTTTTTTACATCTACTGTTTTTTTATTAACGGTAAATTTTAATAAAGAAAAAAAAAATTTAGCTC